CTGCCATCCAGCTGGCTTTCATCTTCGTGTCCCTCTCGCTGCCTTGCACGTGGCGTCTCGCTCCAAATCTACCACATAAATGGGACCCTTAATAATTATCATAATCATCTCATATATTGTTGAAATAGTTTATCATATTCAAATTGGTCGAGTAATTTTATATTGAAAAGGGCATAATCGCCAAATTCATAGATTTTAACTGTGGGGCCCAGGGATAGGCACGACAAAAATAAAATCCTAATTATTTAAATGCTCAACTCTCCCGAAGATGGACTGGTGGCCCAATCCGAGTTGACGACATCACGTTGGGCCTTTAAGACCATAGGTTCGATATGGGGCTTGATGAACATAGGCCCGCAATAGGCCTTTTGGACCTCTAAGAACGATTTTTTTAAATACAAAACGAGTTAAGATGAGAACAAATTCATACCGCGATTTGCACAGCGGGCAATGGGTACGAATCGTAAATTATATGAAACTAAAGGGGCATTTGGGGAACGTAATTTTCTATTTAATAGACCAGTTAATTTTTTTGAAAAAATCAAGATACAAGAAATCTAAATTTAAAATTTAGATATTTATTAGATTAAAAAAATATATATGAACCTCAAATTGATAGAGATATTTTAAAAATTAAAAAGTCTATAAATACGAAATTAAAGTTAAAAAAAAAGGAATATTAGAAAAGAAAAAACAGCGAGGAAACCTTATTTGGACCGGCTGCAAGGAGTCAGTTAGGGTAGTTTTCGCAATAGTGCGGCTACTATATAAAGGGTGAAACACCAGTGCTGGCGATTTAGGGCGTAACAGAAGAAACAAGCCGTTGAAGAGGGCTCTCTATTGTGGAGCGTATTTTATCCTATTTTCAATCGCTTTTAGTCCTGAGATCGAACCTGATAACTTCAAGTATGCTTCCTGTTTCTCGTTTTTGGAGATTACTTTCCTCGCACTTCGCCCTTTTTCTTTCGCGTTCTGTATTTTACTCTTCTTGTTCTGGTTCGTAGCCTTTTCATGCTTTGCAGTAATTGATTAGGATGTTTCGATGCAGCTCCGTCTCCATGTCTGTGTGCGTTTTGTGTGCTTGGGGCGGGGGGTTTATGATTTTGTTTAAGCATCTGTCTAATCGGATTATTGCTTTGGCTGTGCAGATGGATCGGTACCACAGAGTTGAGAAGCCAAGGGCTGAGACTCCAATTGACGAGAATGAAATTCGGATTACAAGCCAAGGACGGATGCGCAACTATATCACATATGCCATGACCCTACTTCAGGTTTCTCTCTTCAGATGCTTTTCATAAGTTTGACCTTTTTTTCTGGGGTAAAAATCTTTTTAAAACTCTTAATGCGTACTGTGAATCCGTTGGTGTAAAGCGCAGTCTCTCTATGGAATTTACAAATTGTGAGTTCTGTTTGGTATTCAGAGTGCTATTAAAAGTAATTGCGTTGGCTACATCCAGCTGTTCGGCACAAAGAAATTGTTAACTTATTTTCGCTGTGTTATGTGCAATAATCTGAGTACGTTGGGATTTTTTTTTCATTGTATTGTGGTGAGAAAAATTTCTTTCATGCTGTAGTATATGCTCCCCTATGCTCTTCAAACATATGATCTGGCTAATAGTTTTATCAAAATTTGAAGTCCTTTCACTTCATGTATGGCTCTAGGTGGTTACTATCTTAAAATATTAAATTCTGAGTTTCAATGAATCTTGATATCGGTTATATTTTTATATGCTTCATCTTAGCGGGTTTTCATAGGCATTTAGGTCATGCATGCTTCAAAAACTTAAGGCAGCCTCAGGCATTTTCTCTTGAAGAATGAGGTGTAAGCCTATATATATATATTTAAAGAAAAGAAGTCACGGACGCTAATGGCTGGAAAGCTATGTATTACGAAACATTATGATTATACCCAAGTGCATAATAGTCATGCCCGTCAATTCTCCCTTTCTCAAATAAGGTTTATGATCTTCATTGCTGCTCAAGTGTTTTTCTATGTTTTGGTAATAGTAAAAAAGGATAAATTGCTAATTGTTGTTGGATTTGTACGACATACGAAATTGACTCTTGAAGAGAGAATGAGCACATGACTTACACCTTTATGTGTCCTCATGAAAGTTAAGTGTTTATGAATCAGGGAAGGTACATGTAGTGATGAAAATATGTGCCTCAAAATCCCTTATTTTACATTTTTTATCCTAGTTACTCTATGTTTTAGAGGACAATGCACGGTATTATTTTATGTATATTACACTTGTTTGATGATTACATTTTCATTAATTTGTCAATTAGTTGAAACCTTTGTTTACCCTTTTTGAAACTTTATGCAGGAAAAAGGTTCTAATGAAATTGTTTTCAAGGCTATGGGAAGGGCTATAAACAAGACTGTGACAATTGTGGAATTAATCAAGGTTTGCTATAATAGTTCATGTTGCTGATGCTCAACCACTTGATTACTTTTGAGATTGGGCTTGACAATATGTTGTTGGTAAATGCAGAGGCGAATTGTAGGTCTTCATCAGAATACCTCAATTGGCTCCACAGACATCACTGATACATGGGAGCCCTTGGAGGAAGGCCTTCTTCCGTAAGAGTATTTTAATCAATATGTCATGCAAGGATTATTTAATCTACCCTTTTACTTTATATTACCATATTCATTATTTTGATGCATGAGTCTTTGAACACGTAAAAAAAAATTCCTCTAGTGTTGGGCTTTGGTTTCACAGAGTAATTTGATTGTTGTTACAGATTGGAAACAACAAGGCATGTATCGATGATTGTGATTACCCTTTCGAAGAAGGAATTAAATACATCCTCTGTGGGGTGAGTCCTTACTCGCTTTTAATGTCTCTCAAAGGTGCTTTTTAAAAAATAAATGAAAATAAATTATGTTCGATGATATGAGACTGTTGAATTTGCATGAAGATCTTCTCATGTTATTTATAAACAAAACCTTAAGTTCATCTTCTCTCTCTCAGATTCAGTTGTTAAAAATGTTCAGATATTCAAGGTTTTGCATATTTAGGATCCGTGTATTGAATAATTTTACTAATAATTTAATAAGTTTTTTTGGTCTTACTCTTTAGATTTGTTAGTCTTCGTATCTGAATTGTGAAAATGCTCTTCTAAAAATGAACATTTGTCTCACGCATTACTGTTGCTTCAGGTATCAGCCGCCACTTCCTGCTGAGTTGGTGAAAACATTTGTAGAGTATGACTACGAGGGAGGTAAGACCTGTCCTATCATACCTTTTTATTTATTGTTAAACTTTTTGCATTGGGAAGTGGACAACCTATTGTGATTGCATACTGCAGAAGGCTCACCTCATGATCAGGGTCCAGGACGAGGCAGAGGTCGGGGCCGCAGTGGCAGAGGAAGGTCTAGGGGTAGAGGTATGTAGAGTTTGATTTTGTTTATTCTTCTTAATCCCTTCATCATGTTGTTGTTCATGGAAGGGTATGGCTTTTATCATTTTATGGCTGGCTGTAGTTCATTTAGTTTATTGCTTCAAGTAGAGCATGTATGACCCGTAACAATTTGTTTTTGTTTTACAATGATATTGGTTTTAGGACCCCCAGGTAATGGCTTTGTGGGTAATGAATATGATGATGGAGATTGGGACCGTAATAGGGGTGGTAATGGAAGAGGAAGGGGTCGAGGGAGGGGTGGTGGTAATTTCCGTGGCCGTGGAAGAGGAGGATACAATGGACCTCAATTTGATTTACAGCAAGATGGAGGATACAATCAAGACTTCCCACCTCAAGGCCGTGGTATTTTCTTACTTCCTTTTTTGAGTATGGTTTATTTAATAAATTAATCTTTGATTAGCCATGGTGTTTTCTTAATAAATTTCCTTGTCCTTGATGTTTTAGTGGGTTTTTTGGTTCATGTTCCGTATTGAGTTGGCCATGAAATGTTCAGTTTAGTTTGATATTTCAGCTCCCACGCACCCTTGTTTTGAGCTCATGGAAGCGTTTGTTTGTATTTTCAGGGCGTGGGCGTGGAAGGGGCGGGTATCGTGGAAGGGGACGTGGTTTCAGAACTAATGGAGGAGGACCGATCCAGGCTGCTGCATGAGAGAGATGCTGAAAGGTTAAAATCCTAATTTTATTCAACATGATGGATGAGTCCTGTAATGAATGATGTATCATTAGGGTTTTCGCTTCTTTTAGTTGCCGGTTGCAAAGGACAACTATATTAACGGTAGGAATTTGGCCTTTTTTTTCCTTTTCTTTTGGAGTCGTAATTAGATGGAATGGAAGCAAGTGTTTGAAAGAGCCGCCGCTATGTGAGGGTGGCGACTCGTTTTCTTGTAGATTTAGGTGAGCTGCTTGACGTTTGTATTTTATTGTTTAAAAATTTCTTGGTCGGACAGTGTATTCTTTTATTTGAGTTTTCAGGATCTTCTGGCGTCCTTCAACGCTCTCCTTTCAGTTCTCTATCATTTATTTGTTCTTTGCTCCTCACCCTTTCTTCACTATTTCTATAGTCAAGTTTTTTGTGCCCATAAATTATTGTGTTTTTTTTTTTTAATATGTTTAAATACTCGAGCCTGTCGTTTGAAACAATAATTTTGGTGGTGGTTGGGGCGAATTGAGTTGTAGACAATGATTTAATGATAAAATAATTCACTATTTTCACGTATTAAAAGAAGAGAATACACGGCCTTGAATCCTGGCCTGCGGACATTTAGTACCAATAGATAATAATAATAATATTAAGTCTTTTTTATTCTCAAATTAGTAAAAGCGCATACAAGTATATAGAATTTCCATTGAAATGGAGTTGGTTTACAATTGCTTTTATTATCCAATCTTGTAGGTTTTAGAATTTAGATAGATTTAGTCTGTTTTCCTTTGATTTAAGAATTTTTTTCTTGTTTTCAGGGGGAGTTTCCGGTAAATTAATGTTCTAATAGAATGATATTTGATGTTTTTTCAAAATGCCTAATTAAAATATTCATTTGATTCAATTTTGCCCCAAAGCCCTAGTAGCTATATAAAGCAAGGTGGTCCTTTTGGGTTTTAGAATACCAAGATTCTCATTCGCATTTGCCATACCGGGCCAGCAATTCCGCCACCAACTGCAACCACAAGGCTTTTTTGGCAGGAAACTTGGAAGTTTCCGATCCTCCTCCGGTGCCTTCTGATAATCTCCCCGATGGTTCAAAACTCTCCACAACCGCCGCCACTTGAGGAGCAACAACCACAGAAACCGCCAGAACCATTGCCGAAATCTTCCCAAGATGATGAACTAGACGAAGAGCTACGTAAACTTCTGATTCCCGATGTTAGGGATCTTCCTTTCGCGCCTCCCTCCGCCGTCGAGACCAATTTCGTCTCGTATTTCGCTCCTGGCACGTTCACTGTCGCCGTATCTTTTTCGAATTCACAATGGAGTTTTATTGCCCTAACTAAACCCTAAGCCCTCTAATTAATCTGACTAATTGGTCGTCTCATTTCCAGATTTTATGAAGGAAGGTCATGATCAGTACGTTTACCGCCATGCCAACGGGTAACGATTTTAATATCTCTTTCTAGTTGATCCGAAGTACAATTCCCCGCTCATCGTAATTACTTATCTGCCTTGTTTTTCTTATTCTAGCTTGTGTGTGATCGGCTTGGCTCCTACGCATATTGCATTCAAAGACAGTAGTGGTATCACAGCTGTTGATTTCAATGTAGGGAAATCTGATCGCAGTAGCTTTAAAGTCACTGGGAAACGCAAGAAGGTATGAAAATGGTAACTGCGGACTTGCGAACTGGTTCGCGTTACCGATTTCTAAAGAAACAGTGTTGCTAGAAATTAAAGTACGTCCATTGTGATAAAACCTCACTTATTGTTAAGGTGCTGGTAGCCTCTTGTGAGTTCTGTTGCTTTGGATTTCATGAAACTATCGTCACGAGAAGATTATGTCAATGTCCTCCATGATTCTTTATGACTTATATGTTTTTTTTTTTGTTTTTTTTTTTTACATTTCTTCAGCATATCATAGACAGAACATGTTTCAGAATCAGCTTTGGCTGTGGAGTTCTTTTGTTACTATGGATATTACTTTTTAGTAGAATTTTGAGGCATCATTAGGAATGACATCCGGAGGATTTACATGTATGATGGGAAAACTTTTTACTGAATTTCTTTCAACAGTTCCTTACAACTTGAACTATGATTTTTGAGGCATCATTAGGAATGACATCCGGAGGATTTACATATATGATGGAAAAACTTTTTACTGAATTTCTTTCAAGAGTTCTTACAACTTGAACTATGATTTTTCGCTCTGGTCCCGTATGTGAATCCAGATACTGGGATTGAATTTTCTGTGCTGAAGTCATCAGTGTAATTTTGCAGAATGCGCAATTCTTTGAGCCCAATTCTGCTATATGTAAAGTCTGCACCAAAGATGCCTCATATATTGTAAGGTTGGATGTTTTTGCTTTTCACCAATTAGCTTCTCTTCAATTGCAACTCTGATAATTTATGCTATTATTGTTAGGTGTTCTGTTAAAGGTTCTCTATTGGAAGTTAATGATCGCTTGATGAAGCAGCCAGAGTTACTCAAAAATGTGGTGAGCATGAGCTTTCAATTTAATGGCCGATACTGTTTGGGAAAGCCTTGTTGTTCTACGTTACTAATATTTGTGCGATCTGTTGTTTCCCATGTTTCTGTTTTTAGTATTGTCGTGATGATTAGATCATTACCTTCAATTATGACGATTTTAGTGTTCATTGCTGATTCACTTGCCTCGAGAGGGAAAAAAACAATAATCATATTATTACAGGCTCACAGAGAAGGCTACATTGCTATTGTTATGCCAAAGCCAGCAGATTGGGTGAAAGTTAAGGAGTCATTGCTGAGCCTCGAAGAGTACAAACGATTGAGAGAAGTGTAGCTGCACCCAATCATTGGTCGCATATAAGTAACTTTCAGATTTCTTGCTTCCTCCTCCTTTTTAACTCGACAGCCACCTCTATTTGTCTATTTGATTTTGAAATTGGGATATTTTTAATTTAAGTTTAGTTAGTGGAATATTATTAAAAGTTCGTTAGATATTGAATTGAGATTGAGTTCAAAATTAGAGAAAAATTAGATAGATAATCTTGGTTCGAAATCAATCTCTTGTTTTTGGAGATAATTTTAGTTCGAAATCAATCTCTTGTTTTTGGGGATTATCTTAGTTCGAAATCAATCTTTTGGAGATTATCTTAGTTCGAAAACAATCTTTTGTTTTGGAGATTATCTTAGTTCGAAATCAATCTTTTGTTTTGGAGATTATCTTAGTTCGAAATCAATCTTTTGTTTTGGAGATTATCTTAGTTCGACATCAATCTTTTGGAGATTATGGAGATTATCTTAGTTCGAATCCAATCTTTTGGAGATTATCTTAGTTCGAATCCAATCTTTTGGAGATTATCTTAGTTCGAAATCCAATCTTTTGGAGATTATCCTAGTTCGAAATCCTATCTTTTGGAGATTATTTGAGTTCGAAATCCAATCTTTTGGAAATTATCTTATAAATAAAATTACAAACTCAGGATCATTTCCTAAACGGTGAATTTAATCTTTTGATATTATATAATGTTGTCTAAAATAGCCTTTATAAACTCAGTATCATTCTATAGATTTTGAATTTAATCTTTTGATATTATATAATATTGTCTAAAATAGCATTTTTTGAATTTTTGAATTTAATCTTTTGATATTATATGATATTTTGTCTAAAATAACATTCATTGATTATCCTTAAATTATGATTCTATTCTTCCCTAAATTAGATAAATTAGAGTGTAAACGGAACTTTCATCTACACAATAATTAAAGGGTTATGGAGGTCCCTCGATTTTGTTCGATGGACATGTGACGATTTATCTATTTGATTCCAATAGAAAGTTTGTGACGATTTATCCATTAATTACAAGGGTTACTGAGGTCCCTCGATTTTGATCAATGGACATATGATGATTTATCTATTTGATTCCAATAGAAAGTTTCGTATTTTAATAGTCACCTGTTTTTAAGGTTTGATCATTGAATAATAATATTCCAATAGAAAGTTTCGTATTTTAATAATCAATCAATGTGCAATAGTTATAATCAATGAGCAATAGTTGTAACGGCCTGGCTCATAGGTATAAAATAAGTCACTTTATTTAATAAAAATATTAAATACGAATTTCTCTAGGATATATTTTTTAAATTTAACTTAGTTATATGAAACTCATTATTAAGCAAATATAAATATTATAATTTTTTAATTGATTCATAAATTAAAGTAAAAAGACTTTAACTAGATATATCTCAAAATGTAATATATAAATAATATTAAAAAATTAAAAATTACTATATATATTTATATATTATACCTAATTAAATATTTATAGGACATAAATTATTTATTTGATTTGAAAACATAAAATATTAAAATAAAAAAAAGAAGAGAATTTAATAAAAATAAATATGAGAATTGAACAAATTATATCAATTATTCAAAATAAAATGGAAAGATATAACCCTAGATTGGGGAGACTGAAATCGCTTTTCGGAATAACAGTGACTGTGATTGAGGAAACTGAAATCGCTTCTCGAAAATTGTTGGTAGACGAAGCCGAAAAACCAATGTGAAGCGTAGCAGTTGCAAAATATCGACTTATCAGAAAAGGTGGTGAGGGTGCACTTATCGACTATAGGCACAAAACTGGGGCTCACACCCACCCATAAAGGTGGTGAGGTGCACATGTCGACTATAGGCACAAAACTGGGGATTACACCCTCCATCAAATCTTTTTGTTGAATTTTATAAATGGTAAATATTCTTATTTTTAAAAAATGAATATATATTATAAAAGTAAGTGAGTTTTTTTTTTTTTTTAATAAAACCCTATAAATATAAATATGTAATTTGATAAAAAAAAAAAAATTATAAAGGTTCAAAATTCAAATCTCACCAACCTAATAAATTAGTTTTATCCTCAAACTTTAAAAAAAAAAAATTTTAAAATAAATATTGAGTTTGAAAATAATTCGTATATATTTATTCTCGACAATCAAATAATTCTATGTTAAAAGATAAGAGTCCATTGAGATGGTATTGAACAATAAAATTAACTATTCTAACTGGGACTAAGCTCATTACAATTAAAGAGAACATTAATGTAATTTTGAATGAGAAAATTGAAAAAATATACACATGTTAGGTGTTGTTGGTTTAATTTAGTCATAATAAAGTTTTAATTATTACATTTATTATTGAATTTAGAAAAAAAATTAAGAAAAAATGTATGCAGCTTGAACTTGTAATACGTCAAAACATCGAGTCGTTTCAATTAATAAAATAGGTTGAAAATGCACTGTATTGTCATTATCTTTTGATCATACATTTTAAGTGACTAGTTTTCTTTATTTTCTCTTCATTATCAAATTAACAGAAGCCTTAATATTTGATTATGAAAATTTAAAGATGTCTCTTGTCCTTTATTTTCATGTTTTATCACTCCCTGAACAGTTTTGGCTTTGATCTGAAAATTTTCGTAAATAAAAATGGCATAACTTGGTTTTGAAGGAGTATGCATGAGTATGCAGGAGTATGCAGGAGTATGCATGAGTATGCAGGAGTATGCAGAAGTATGAAAAAATACGAAGAAATAATCAATCTGGTTTTTAGGGCAAATATTTCTCTCTTTATTCGGCCAGTTTTTATTCGATTGACGTTTTTACTCTCAATTGCCAGAAGTCAACATTAACATTTAACTAATTGCTGAAGTGCTATTCACTTTTTTTTTGTTGTTTTGAAATATTTGTTAGTATAAATTCATATTTTATGGATATGATAATAACAAATACTAAAGAGAGAAATATTTGATTTGTTTGATGCAAGTAATTACCTTAATGCCAAGGGGTGAAAGGACAAAACCTTTTGCTTCTCCTAGAATTCAAATACGAGAAATAATGGAGGGATTACATTTGTTGGTGTCACTGAGGCAGAGGTTTGCAGTACGGAAGAAATGACATCTCACTTGTCTCATGGTTTATTAACACGTGCAACTGGAAGTACTAAGAAATGGTCTCCTTTTACATTATTATAACAATTCTTTGAAATTACAACATGTCGAAGGTATAAGAAACCAAAGGCTAATGTTGCAATCTGAAAGAAATTCGACAAAATTCATTTTTATAATGTATTATAAGTATGAACATGGTCTTCTTTTGCATTATGTGACCGTCGATCACATGTCATCTTTATCATTACCATGGAGCAAAAGAAAAAGCTTGGGAAGGGCATGTCTCATGATGATACATGCGTTGACATTCTATGTACAAAGCTCCATTTGGTGGATCTTGCAGAATCTGAAAGAGCAGCAGAACAAACGATGACATGTGTTTTAAAGAAGGTATTGTTGTCAATGCTATTGTAAGAGGTTTATGATAGAGTAATCTCCGAGTTTAGAATCAAACCCTGTTTTCAAGTAGCTAGTTGACCCTAAAATAATATGTTTGCAATTAAATCTATTATCTATTTTTAAGGAATTCATATAAATAAGGGTGTTTTGGCTCTCGGCAAGATCATAGGGGCAGTGGGAGATGAGAAGAAACGAAGAGAAGGGTGTCATGTTCCCTGCGATAGCAAGTTAACAAATTTGCTAAAGGCATGCCCTCTTTTATTTTTCAAAAGATACTGTCAAACTTCATATTTTTTAATGTATTTTCCATAAACTTTTTGATCGAGCATTCACTCAAATTTGGCTTTGCTGGTTTGCGTTGATGTTGGTTAAGGTTAAATTAGTTAAAACAATTAAATTGTGAGTGGTTAATATGCTTCCGGATCTAATAATCATCAGGTTGCCAGACTTTTGACTATAATCTTTGTTCACTGTGTTACTTTGCAGAAGTATGCAAAAGTATGTCGGACTACAGTATGCAGAAGTTTGAAGAATTATGTCGAACTACAATGCAAAAGTATATAGAAATATGCAGAGGTATGCAGAAGTATGCAGATGTATGCGATGTAGAAATATGCATAGGTATGCAGAAGTATCCAGATGTATGCAAAGGTATGTAAAAGTATGCAGAATTATGTAGAGGTATGCATAAGTGTACAAAGGTATGCAAAGATATGCACATGTATGCAGAGGAATGCAGATATTTTATAACGATATTAGTTTAGGACCCCCGGTTAATGGCTTTGTGGGTAACAAATTTATTGTATTTTCTCTTCAATATCAACTCAATGCCAAAGATATCTGTTTTTCTTTATTCTCACCTTTTATCCCTTTTCAACCGTTTTGGCCTTGAGCTGACAATTTCTTTAAATGAAAATTGCAGAACTCAGCTGGAAGAAATATGCAGAAGTATGCATAAATATGAAAAAGTATGCAGAAGTATACAAAAGTATGAATAAGTATGAAAAAGTATGCAGAAGTATACAGAAGTATGAATAAGTATGAATAAGTATGCAAAAGTATACAGAAGTATGCAGAGGTATGCAAAATTATCTAATAGTATGAAGAAGTATGCAGAAATATTTAGAGGTATGAAGAAGTACATTTTATCCGTTTTAAACAGTTTTGGCATACGTCTAAAAATTTTGCCAAATGAAAATACCGAACTCAGTTTTAAAGAAGTATGCAGAAATATGAAAAAGTATGCAATGGTATGCAGAAGTATAAACGTGTATACAGTAGTATTAAAAGGTATGAAGAAATATGCAGAAGTATGAAATAGTATGCAGGATATGAAATAGCAGAATTCAGTTTGAAGAAGTATGCAGGATATGAAAATTGCATAACTTGGCAGCTTCCATTTATCTCTGTTCGGTATAAACCTGGAGCTTCCATTTCCATCTGTTTCTTCAGATGTTGAGAATATCGGTTGAATCTTGGCTTCTTGCGTTAACTTTGATTTTACACCCTAAGTATATTAAGTCTTTCAATTGGTTTTTTTGTAATTTGAACCAAGCTAAGGAAGCTTTAGAGGTGTAGGTTCTCGTGTAGTTTGAACTATGCTAAGAAGCTCTAGAGTTCGACTAGAAATGAATCCGGTATGCGGCTTGAACTTG